TCTTTTATGGAACGGCTTAATTCCCTAAAATATCACATCATCCTTGGAAACAAGTAAATTGTTGATTAGTTACAAACTCAAAATTAGCTTTATGAGCATTATAATAAAAACGTGTTTGAAAATCAATTTTTCTAAAGAAGAAATGGTGAATATGGTGTTCGTTTTATCACAAGTAGTTTCCTAGCATCTCGCATTTGTAAGCAACGGAACTCTAATACGCGACATCCAAGGCCGGAAACATTTTCCACGCTTCGAGAACGTTTTGAATCAAGCAGAAACTGATATATGCAGAACTTCTGTTGCATCAAGGCCTTCGTTCTCACGATTTCGCAGCTCGAATGGAGTTTAGTAGAATAATGCTAAATAAAGTGACTGGACACTACTTTCCTGGATAAGGTTCTTTTTAGCGATGAGGCAACTTTTAACAGCATAGGTGTTGTCAACAGGCATAACGTGCACTATTACGCGACGGAAAACCCTAACTGGGTTAGGCAAAATAAATGGAGCTTGAATGTTTGGGGAGGCGTTATTGGCAGACAAGTTATCGGGCCTTTCTTTTTCGACAACAGATTAACAGGTTCAGAATACTTGAACTTTTTGATCGAGTATTTGCCTTTGCTTTTGGAGGATGTCAACCTGCAAACTCGGATGCATATGTACTTCCAATATGACGGCGCACCTGCGCATTATCATAATCGTGTGCGTAACTATTTGGACACCTGGAGTAACAATCGATGGATCGGTCGTGATGGGCCTATATCTTGGCCTCCTAGATCACCAGATATGACACCGATGGACTTCTTTCTATGGGACTACGTTAAGCAAGCGGTGTATAGATATCCACCATCTACCCCGGAAAATATGAAGGCATGATTAAGGATGCTTTTTTGAACTTAAGGGAACACATGCTGAGGGATGTGCAACGGTCATTTATCCAAAGACTACGGCTGTGTACATGGTGGAGATATTTTCGAGCAGTTTTTGTAGATTAGATCTTGAGTAGTAATAGTTGTTTGTTTGTGTTGTTGTTATAGTTGTTTTTCTCTATTATGCTTGAAGCTGATTTACACTGTTCTGATTGTTATTAGTTTTTACGTCAAATCTGTACTCTTAGTGGCAATATGGAACTAGCCCACTGTTTGTCTTTTGTTTCCATGGATGGTATGATTTTTTTCCTTAATTTTGGTGTGTTGTTCTAGTAAAAGATTAATAACTCAAAATCTAGTGATTTTATCTGAAGCAAACCTTATACCAAAAAAGCTTATAAAAAATTGAATCCAAACTTGCACAAATATACAAGGTGAAGCATTTGAAATGTTTGAGAAAAAGTACAATTCGCGTTTTTGACCACCCTGTATGAGCAAAAATGAAAATTCGAAAAAATAACAAATAAGATAAAAGCTGAGGTGTGTAAGTTTTTTTTGTTACAAAATTCAGCACTCCAAATTTCAAAATGGCGGATTGAGGGGTTGCCGAAGTGGACTGTTTTCTGGACAAAACACCTTACAGTAGCTAATTACCAAAACCCCATAGTATGTTATAACAATTTTCTTCTTTTAAATTAGTTCATCCAAATATGCAATAAAATTTGAGGCATTCTATTTAAAAAATCACAACTTTGATATGTAGGTCAAAATTGGGACACCCTGTATAATTGCCAATATTTTAGAAATGTGCCCTCAAATGTCATGTATAATATGCCATAAATAGATTTTTCCGAAATGTATTTGTTTATGAGTAATGTTCCGTCCACACATGGATGGGCATATATATATATATATACGTGAGCAGTAGTCATTGCCATTGCCAACGATCAGTTGGGCACAAAATACAATTAATTATTAATTGGGAATTTGGAAAATTTTTAGGCTTTAGTTGACTTTTTTTACGACAAAATCAAGCTTTCGGCATTCTCTATTGAGCCTTCATCAGGATTCTGAAAACAACTGTGATGCTAAGCAACGAATACAGGACCGATTTAAATTGTCAAACAACTTACTCGTCGTTGAGGTTGCAGCCACAAGGTGTTTCAAAACGAACGTAGAGAAGATAGAACTTGTTATAAATATAAAAACAATAGGACGGAGACACTTGGGCTTGTTGATAACGACAGATACCTTCGTTACATGTTAAAAATATCAATACACCCGAACATATTAAAAATTGAGAAGACATCTTAGGGAAACAATCGGAATGCAGTTTCTAACATCCTACACGTGGAGAGGGGGGCGGAACGGAAAGATAATGCGTCGACAGATGACATGCCATTGACGCGACGGAACGTGGAACTGTAAACCTCATTGTCCAATTTGGGTATGAAGTATACGAGGGACGCTCGGTAAACCTCCACCCAAATTACTAAAATGCTGAATTAATTTGTTTTGGAAAAGTGTCTAGTTCATATGAGTGTACGAATGTGAGATAGTGATACACACTTGAAAAGATGGGTTATGTGAGTTTATATAAAAGATGTGAGAGAGAAATTTCAATTACCAGGATAGCAATTGGAAATGTATTCTAATTTTGGGCGTCTGGTTGGACCGAACAGTGTTGTCATGTTCACTATTGTTATTCGTCATTGGCAAAATATTCGGAGGAGAGCTGAACAAGATTCTGTTAACCAAATACTTCCGATAACCATTTTTGATGAATAAGACTGAAAGCTTCCTTAAAACAAGGAAATTTATTAAGGATCATCCCGAATTAATTGTTACAAAATCAGACAAAGGCAATGTTACCGTAATTATGTTAAGACAACAATATTTTGACCTATGTAATAATTTGATTGATAATGATCCCTCTTACAAGGTTATCAATAAAGACCCTATATCTAAAGTAGAGGAAAGGTTGCAATGACATTGTTAACAGGCTACTCAGCACTGGTCAAATCAACCAGGACCAAAAGACGTCCTTAATCACTTATAATTCTGTCTCTCCTAAATTTTATGCTCTTCCCAAAATACACAAACCTGTACTGTCAGTAAGACCTATTGTGGCTTCTGTTGAATCAGCCACACTAGCCTTATCTTCATTAATTGCAGATACTCTAAAGTCAGTTAACATCAAAGGAGAATACTTCATAAAAGACTCTTTTGATGTTTGTCAGCGATTTAATAGGTTTCAAATACCCCCTGATCATCTTATTGCGAGTCTAGTTGTAGTTTCACTGTTCAGTAATGTGTATTTAGAAGCTTTCATCAGATTCATCAACAAACATTTCGATCAAATTTACCAACACAGCAACCTAACTCTGGATTCTTTCATCAATATCGGAGAGTACCTTTTCCAGAACAATTATTTTACTTTAAATAACAAAGTGTTTTCACAAACACATGGTTGCCCCATGGGCTCTGTCTTATCTCCAATTTTGGGCAGAATATGTAATGGATGACCTGCTTGATGTTGTTATTCAAGTATTGCCATACAATCTAATTTTCATAAAAAAGTTTTTAACAGTTATGATCCCTACATCCAGTTCACCATCGAAAGAAGAAGATGACAATCAATCGGTTCCCTTTTTGGATTCAAGATTGATTCACACCAATGACAATATATTACTGGTAGACTGGTACAGGAAACCAATTCCTTCCGGAAGGTTCTTGAACTTGGTCTTACCATGAACTTAAAATAAAAATAAACCTGGTGAAATAAATGAAGAACAGGGTTATACAAATCTATGACAGTACTTTCCATCTTTCCAATTTAAGGAAGCTTTCAGTCTTATTCATCAACAATGGTTATCCGAAGTATTTGGTTAACATAATCTTGTTCAGCTCTCCTCCGAATATTTTGCCTATGACGAATAACAATAGTGAAAATGACAACACTGTTCGGTCCAACCAGGCGCCCATGAACTCTTCAACCAATGAGAATATCAGCACTACAGTGGTTGCTCCTATTTCCAGAGTTAATTATGTTGTCTTGCCATACATCAAAGAACTAACACCAAAATTGATCAGGTTGTATTATTCCTTTAATTGTCGTTTTGCTTGTAAATCAGTGCGTCAACAGTTTGTTGTCCAAAATGAAGGATAAGGTTCAGTTGCTTGATTCAACAAACACTGTCTATCGCATTAATTGCAGCAACTGTAATTTAGTTTATATAGGCCAAACTTCGAGGTCACTGAAAGGCAGGATAACTTCACACAAAAGTGACGCCAGATTACATCTAGAGAGATGTGTTTATTTTAAGAAATGTCCCCCATTTTCATGACAGATCATTGCATGAATAAAAAGACTGATGTTGAGCAGCTTAGTGTCATTAATTCCTACCTGTTGAATTGCGAAAAGCTAGAACGGCTACATATAGAATACATTTCCAATTGCTATCCTGGTAATTGAAATTTCTCACTCACAATCTTTAATATAAACTCACATAACTCATATTTTCAAGTGTGTATCACTATCTCACATTCGTACACTCATATGAACTACGTTCCGTCCCCCTCTCCACGTGTAGCGGAAGTAGGAGGTTAGAAACTGCATTCCTATTGTTTCACTAAAATGTCTTCTCATGTTTAATAATTTTTAATATGTTCGGTTGTATTGATATTTTTAACATATAACGAAGGTATCTGTCGTTAACAACAATCCCAATGTCTCCGTCCTATTGTTTTTATATTTATAACACGTTCTATCTTCTCTACGTTCGTTTTGAAACACCTTGTGGCTGCAGCCTCAACGACGAGTAAGTTGTCTGACAATTCAAATCGGTCCTGTATTCGTTGCTAGCATCACAATTGTGTTTTCAGAATCCTAATGAAGGCTCCATAGAGAATGCCAAAAGCTTGATTTTATCGTCAAAAGAGTCAACTTAAGCCTAAAAATTTGCCTATTTATATATATATATATATATATATATATATATATATATATATACATATATACTCATATATATATATCGCACATATATGTCTTACTGCGATAACTCTTTCTGAATATCTTATAGCACTCCTACAGAAATATATTTACGTAAGTAGTGTAATGTGAATTTATTATAGGTACTTAGAAGCACAAGTGCAAGGAAGTAGGCAAGAGGCGGAGCAAGGGGACCTCGTTGTCCTGACAGCCGGGGACAAAGAACTTTTCATGGATTGTCAGTCGTGCTTCAAAGCGATGGGAAAGACGGCATTCTTCCTTGGTGACGTTGGGTATGCCACAAAAACTAATCTCATCTTGAATCTTATAAAGGTAAATTAGTGAATATTTCTCTTATATTAGAGAGTTTTGGCAGCCATTTATGGTTGAAAAAACTACCTATTACATTTTTTTTTGTAGAAACCAGTTCCTCAATTGCCAAGGAAGGCGTCAAAATTATATTATAGTCGCATTTTCGTAATTGAGGCGGCATGGTACTAAACATATGGTAATTCTACGCACATATTAGATACATTTCACACATAGATTTGCCCTCAACTCAAGACTTACAATGATATAATACTTTCCACACCCGTGCCGAGCGCAACGAAGCTAAACCTTTCGCGAACTGGCAGCTGCCACTGGCGAGATTGCTATTCTGTGAGACATGTATCGAACTTAAGGGTTGCAAAGCTGTCATCCTGGGTTATCAACGCCGCAGTCATTGTTACCCAACGATTTTAACTAACACACACTTCGCTTCAAAAATGATAATCATGAATGTTAGTGAACAGTGGTTAGCTACCAATGTTCGGGGCAGTTATTCCACATGATTAGTTACTCGAAATGGTTCTGTCAATGCGACCATGTGACTGCTATTAAAAGCAGTCTGACAGCTAACAGGAGTTTCCAAAGTTCAATTTTTACTGGGCGGCCGTTAAAAGATGGATAGGTAATATGTTCTATTCTAGCACTGACAAAATTGCATGAAATACTTTGAAGTAGTTTCGACATGATTGGGCTTAGCCTTGCTGATGTTACATACAAACACTGAAAAACGTGCCAATATTTCTAGTGTCGGAGGTACATCAAAAACTAAAAAGAAGCTCTCCTACAAACATAGGTCCTAAAATGTCCCATTGTGTTGTATATTTCTATGTCACTTTTTCCTATGATAGGCCAACTTGTACTTTATGAGCTTGTCGATGAAAGCGTTGTGTGGAAGTGTAAAATAAACCTACTTGACGTAATTTATATTGTGCTTCAATTGCGACTAGCTTTATAACGTCTTCACGTTTCGTTTTAGGGCATTACCTTAGTGGGGTTAGCGGAGGGTCTCTCTTTAGCGGATCGTTGCGGTATATCCTCGACCGACCTTCTGAACATATTCCAACTGACAAGCCTCAATTGCAAGTATCTAAATGATAAGGCTGAGATGATCTTCAAGAAGGACTTCAAGCATGTTCAGCAGGTAAGTGTAGATATATGTTGACAAACTGAACCGCGCTGCAAGGTTATGGGCGATTCTCATTAATACTAAATGTTTCACGAATATCCATTATGCTTTGACGTCTACTGAGGTGAACAGCTGTCATCGATTAGTGAGTAATATTGGCAATAATGGATCGAGTGTAAATCTAGTAAGACTGAGGACCATATTCAGAGCTGTTGTTCAAATGTCTAGATAATTTTAGTGATTGGGAATTTTGACAATAAAATATACTAAGTACACAAAAAAATGTTTATTAGAAAATTATTAGAGTAAATCTGGCGTTTATTGATTACGAAGTAAGTACATTTGATATTCTCTCTCTTTGAAAAAACAATAAACTACATTTCTTATTCCCCTCCTACAAGCGCTTTCAGCTTCCACGTAACGTTTTAGTTTCCTCTGGATTTTTGCAGGGATGTATTCACGAACCCTGCATTGTCCCAGTTGAGTAGATTTCATGTCTTCCAGCAATAGTTGTATATTTTTCTAGTTGCTAACTTTTTAGAATTACCTGAATAATGTTTGGACCTAATTCAGGGAATCGAAGCTCTATTAATTCATATACTGCCACACATTTTGAATTAATCGAATGGTTGTTTCATTACTCTCCAAAATCATATGGTGTTACAAGTTTCAAAAAGTAGAGATGATTAAATTAACATAATCTAAAACTGTTTATCTTTTTTTATTCTTACTCGAAATGTAGTCATGATCATTAGCAGCCATTTTGCATACGGTGTAAGATTGATAAATTCCCATATTGAATCAAGAAATACACCATAAATCATTAGTCACAAAAACTTTCATTTGCGTCCGAACTCTAAATTAGCGGCTATGCTCATACAGGGTGGCCCAACGAAAAGGTCACACTCATATTTGTGGCTCTCCTGGTATATTTTGGAAAAAACGCTCGGACACGTCAACTTTCATTTTATCTATACCAGGGTGATCTAAAAATAAGATCTTGCGTTACACTTTAGATTTTTAAATGGAAACCCCTATTTTTTTAATTTTGAGATTTTTCCATGAAGTTTCTAGTAACTTTTATATAATAAAGTTTATACCTATTTTCAATCGTTGTGAAGCTGAGTTCATAATAAAATTTTAGAAATTGTGATAATAATTATCAATATAGTTCCCATGGTAACAAGACTTTACTTTAAAATTAAAAACAAGTCTGAAAATGGTGTGCATTCACCTTCATGCAATAACAATTTTGTTCGAATCGGTTTCTCACATTTTAAAGGATGTCTTATTTGTCTACACCCAGCCGTAATCCGCTGGCGAAGATCTGGAATGAAATCTAGCTTCATACTGAAAACTTCACTATTCAAATGCCCCCAAAAAAGCAATCTTAAGGATTTAGGTCCGGAGATCTCGATGGGGCCTCTTCTACCGATCCATTGATTCGGGAAATGGGTGCTTAAAAACTGTCGTACTGGACCCACATAGTGCGGCGGAGCACCATCTTGTTGTAAATTAAAGTAATTTCCATTATAATTGACGTCATTTTCTATTATTTAGGTAATTCGCGGCTCTATTGTATTTTCTAACATGTCCAAGTACGTATCGCCCGGCAAGTTTCCAGGAATAAAGAAAGGTCCTACAATATGATTTCCGAAAATGCCGGCCCACACATTTATTTTTTCAGGATATTGCGAGTGTACCTCTCGAAACAAATATGGATTCGAATCACTCCAATATCGACAATTGTCTATTTACAACACCATGTAAATAGAACGCTGGGACATTAATTTGCAAAACGGCACCCTTTTATCAAAATCGTCTTCATTAAGCTCATGGACAAGTTTTATCTTGTATGAGTGAAATTAATTGTCTTTCAAAATTCTTTGAACTGTTTAGCATGTAAATTCGGAAGAAGTAGCCAGCCCACGAGTGCTTTGGGTGTTGTCAAGTGCTACGTGTCCCAAAACTGCTATTTCTGCGGTTTCATATCTAGCTGATCAATTTTCTCGATTGCGATTATGGCGAATATTGTCTAATTTAGACACATACCCAGTTTCTTCATATTTTCTTATCAACTCAACCACATACTTAACGTTAATATTTTTGTCTGGATGTAACTCATTAGACAACCGGGCAGTATGTCTTGGGATGCTCCCATTTTGGTAATAAAGTTTTGTTATTTCTACCCTTTCTTGAATCGAGCAAGTCATTGTTTAATATTTATCACAACTAGGTAGGTAACTTAACAATTTGAAATGAAAGACATAGGTTTCCTACGACATGCGATGACACTAACTGATGCTAAATGTTCTTACTGGTATCCATGATTGTTATTTTTTTGCCGAGCAGTCAATTATTTGCAGTATTAAGTTACTCGAATTGAAGATAGCTATAAACTTTATTATACAAAAGTTACTAAAAACTTCCTGGAAAATCTAAAAATTAAAAAAGGGGGTTTCCATTTAAAAATATAAAATGTAAATCAATATCTTATTTTTGGGTCACCCTGTATTGTACGGCTATAGCTGAAAAGACGTCCCGCTAGAAATTGAAATTGGCGTGTCTGAGGGTTTGTCCCAAAATATACCAGGAGCGCCAGAAATGGGGGTGCAACCTTTTCGTTGGGTCGCCCTGTATAATAAAAATAAGCACTTGCGCAATACTCGAAGCATGAACAAAAATCTGTTACAAATTGATGTAACAGCAATTAAATTTGCATTTTATTGAAAACTAGCTGACCCGACAGACGTTGTCCTGTCTTAGCCATGAACTGGGATAAGTACACTGGTGAACAAAATTAAAATAATTTTTTGTGACATGGACAAAACAATGTGGTTATTATGTAAAACGTACCCAAAAAGCCGGAAATAGCATTCGACAAGTAAATTAACACTCCATTTGCCTTGATACCGTTTTTCCATAGCAGAAATGTCTTGATGGAACCGTTCACCATGTTCATCACTTACCCCACCTAAATTTTCGGGAAAAAAATCGAGATGAGAATCCAAAAAGTGAATTTGAATATCTTTATAATTGTCCGCCTTCACATTGCCTGAAAAATTTGCAGTAACTGATTTAAAAGCATTCCAAGCTCGTAATTCAGTTTCATTTAGAGCACTGTCAAATACATCATTCTTCATTATTTTTCGTATATAAGGACCCACAAATATGCCCTCTTCAATTTTTGTCTCACTAAGGGCCGATTTTACCAACATTAATATTATGGACCAATGGGAAAATACCTTATCGAAATGCAATTTGACAGAAGCTGTCAAAGGTCTCAGAATATCAGTGATTTCTATTAAAATATTGAGTAAAATAGTGGAAATTCGACTGTATTATAAACAAGACCACTTCTTGATTCCAACATGATGCTTTTGTACAGAGAAAACAGGTCAACTTTCATGTATTTTGATTTGTGTTATAAATTTACATTTAACAATCAGTCATCCCCAAAAGCCAATGCGAATGCGGCAAATAATAGGTCGATTTTCTAGCTGTTAAATTTGGCAGCAGACTTGGACGTTTGTTAATGCTTGGCAATCTCGAATTTAAGTTCAATATACTGTTATCATTACATACCTGTTGAATAGTGTGGATTTGTCTGTATTTTGCAAGAAAATAGAATATAAAATACATTCCATCCAATTCCTCATCTTCCTTTACATGTTAATAGTAATCATTTATTAATTTACGGGTTAATGCATTTCTTCAAAAGCAATAAAAACATTGTCCTCTCCATCCTAAAACACAGATAATATGTGTATTGTGTAAGAATGATTATTCACTGGTGGGGTTATCTATGTGTCACTCGCAGGGTTGCCACGTCTAACGACGATCACGTCCCGTGGTGAAGGGTGCGACAGGAATCTTTTACATTTGCTACTTTTGAATTTAAAGTAGGAATACAAACATAGTACTTTTGATAGTTGAAGCTAGACTGATAACACTTCCTGAAGAATATTTGAAAAATTTGAACACCGTCATGGTCTGTTGTCCAATTGCAAATGAAGTATCTGAAAATTCTTACATACAGTGGACCTTCGTCATATTTTACTATCCTGATTATGATCATTTTTAGCAGATGTGTTCTATCATCAAATTGATGAACAAATATAAGAAAGCTCTTATATACCTACATACAGAGGATTTTTCATGTAAATTTACTAGGTATCATGATTATAAGCATCTTTAGTGGATTGTTCGATCCGGAATGGGAGAGATCTCCTATTTATGAAAATATTTTTGGTATCATCTAACCATTGCAATCAGTGCACAAAAACTGTGACATATGATTTATAGCATAACCCGCTACCCTATCAATACAAATTTAACATACAGGTCGCCTAGTCGTGGGGATGCAGTGATCGGGATGAATATCACGGCAGCTACTGATGATTTGGGCATGTCTGGTAACAACGTATGAAATAAAACTCGCTAACTTCACAAATTTGAAGATTTTGTACAATTTCTTTGAAAATGATGAAAGATATGTCTGATTTGGCAGAGTAATGTCGCAGCCAAATGGCAGTCACTCTTTCTAACACAGTCCGGATCGAAAGATGACGATACTCGTGAAATGTATTGATACTTCTAAATATAGGATCGTATCGAACATCCCTACTGTCAACATGTATAACCCGAGGTACCGACGGAGCTATTTTGTGGCGTCATGGAAATAATTTTAAATTTTCATTTGCATTTTTTCAAGTGTTGTGCAATGATTTTGGAAAAAATTTCACGAATAGTCTTATAAAGCATAGTAGTATATTTCAACAGTTGGCGGAAATTACTCTACTGGGACCAGGAGGGTGAAACGGGATATTAATGCACAATCTGGCAACCCTGTCGCACCCTCACAAAATGGCCGCTGCAAACCACACAAGTCAACGTGTTGTCATTGAATAGCATGGAATTAAACCTTCAGAGTATATGTTTTGTGACTGGTAGCAAGAGTTGACAGATCCCACACATGTGTCACTCCTTGAAATGCAATAATCAGCTGTATTCAA